AGGTTTTGCTTGAGCTTTATTATGAGAAATTGTTCAATGGCTTTTGTTCTAGTTGGACTTTCTTCATATTAGATTTGTTGCTCTTCTATTTTAGTTTCCTTAGACTCTCGTTGAAAATTATTGGTATTTTTAGTATTTACGATTAGTTTCTTTGTGGCTGGAAATACGTGTTTAGTCTCAGTATATTATATACTTAAAGGAACTTCTACTTTAAATGGAAATGGCTTTTATATTTTCTTTCTTCTGTAAATAAAGCTGAATTTTGCTTGACCTCTCTGAGCGAGAGCTCATATTATTTAAGACATTAGATGTGGCTAAGCCCTAGCGAGAGTGCCCTATATCTTTCTAAATGCATTTAATGCCCCACATACAGTTTTTAGCTCTATGTTAAGCGCTCTATAAGAGAATTCCTAACTCCTTCCAAGCATAACAAAGACTTTCTACCTTTTACAATATCAATGTAGCAGCCTAAGCACACACTTGCTATTCGCTTACCTATCATATACATAATAGTGCTTACCTTCTGCTCCAGCTCTAGCCCTTGGCAGGCTAATGGAGAAAACTAATGTTTTCGCCCAGTTCGGCCCTTATGAAGATAAACAGCGTGCGTAGTGCTACTTGGAGCAGGCCATTTGAGCTGTAAATGAATTTGTTTCTAATTAGATGCGTGGCCAGACATTTGCGACCTTAACGACCTGAAACTCTCAGACACACTCAGGCGGTCGGAATCTGTGCAAATAACAATAGTTCTTGCTGCTGTCGTGGCAGCGGCCTCCTGCACTGGGGCCTTCAGTTTTACTTCACGTTACTTGCCCGATATTGAGGGGATATTGTGTGGGTCTTTTGTGTCGGGGCCATTCGCTTAATTTATTATTCAATTAAAGCAGCAAAAATAAACTTTAATCGCACCACAGACATCAGCAACAGCAGCAGCAGCAGCAACAGCAGCAGCAGCAGCAGCAACAAAAAGTCTTCAAGCACACGCACACACACACACACACACACACGCACATTAACACACGCCCATTTAGCATGTGTGCCAAAATGACAGAAAAAAAAAAGTAATGAAAGAAATATTTTTTATAAATATGGAAAATCGTGTGCCAAGAATTATTGTTGTTGTTGTTCGCTCTGCTTTGTAATCGATTAAAAGTGCATGTCAAACTGTGCGTGCGGCCGCGTTTTTTTTAATGGGCTGCTAAAATATAAACTGAAAATAAAATAACAGCGAAACGAAACAAAACAAAAAGTCAGGCGCATTAACAAGAAAATGTGCGCCTAAAAAAAGGCATCAACAGCAACAGCAACAGCAACAACAACAACAGCAGCAGCAGAGCAGCAGCAGCAGCAACAAATTCATGGAAAAAGTTGAGCGCGAAAGACGAGAAAATATGACAAAATTTACGAGCGCTGCTCAGTCATATTTGTAGGTTCACACACACACACACACTCACAGACACTCACACACACACTCACATATACATACGTCGAGTGAAAGGCAAATGAAACACCCTGTGGTGGCGCTTGGTCTTGTTTTTAGTGCTTTGGCACGTAATGGGGTCGACATACACACACACACACAGAGTCACACATCCAGCACACACATACACACAGTGAGGCCACTCAGTCAGCAGCTGCCTTTTGTAAATGTTGCTTCAGCTTTTGGTTCGGTTTGCCTTTGGTTTGCTTTCTTTTGGCATCATCAGCAGCAGCTCGAAGCCAAAGGAAGTTGCGAATCTTTGAGTTGGGAGTCTGTCGCCAGTGGCTCGACGCTTGCCACTTGCCACTTTCCACTTGCCACTTGCTGATGAGATGCGCTCACTAGCTCTCGCAGCTAATGCGACTCCTATTAGAGATGTGCTCGAACGCCCAGCTCAGCTGGCAGCGTAATTAATCTATTTCATATTTCTGTTTCATTTTACATGGCCAAAGCTTGAAGTGCACTGTGGCTTTGTTTCCGGCCAGGACGAATTTAACCAACACTCATTCGTCTCTCGCGCCTGTTCGTAATTTTTTGCTTTGTGTAATCAGAAATGTTTTCAAAAACATTTTCCCGAGCTCAGGCTGATGCAATGGCCTTTAGCTATTTACTTAAGCAAAAAGAATTTCACGAAACTTTAATAATTGATTGCCGCCACATTTTGTGGCGCTTGTCAGCAGCAGATTTCGCCCTGAGAGCAGCCGAAATTAGCAATTATATCTTCTGGAATTATTTTAATTAAAACCGGGAAACAGAAAAAAATGGAATTACCTTAAACGGTTAAACAATTCAACTTATGTTTAATAATTCAGTAAATGAGCAATGCTAGAAATGTAGATGGACCTCTATGTAAATTAGAATGACCAAACTAAAACAAACATACTAATAGCTTATATTGTATGTAAATATTTAATACATTTTTAATGCGTCTCATAAATATTTTCTATTATTTTTTTATTCATAATAAATTGACCAAACAACACACAAAATCATTGATGCAATTAACACCAAATAAACTAAGTGTTGAATGAAAAAATAAAACATTATTAAATGGCATAATATAGATTTATTAAAAAATTAAAACAAAAAATTTTTTTTTTTATTAATTATTTGAGTAAAATGTATACAAATAAAATATATACATATAAAGTATAATATAAATGAATATTTTAACTAACTTACAAAATTATTATTCAT